TGTGCTGCTAGCCCAGGTGGCTTGCACAACCCGTTTGCGCCTCCACGAACAAGCCGCTAGCCGCCACGAGGCCGTTTGCGCATGCACACGGTGCCAGCGCATGCTGCATGTGTGAACGGGGGTGCTAATGCTGCACCAGTGTGCGTGGTCCCGTGCACGGATGTGCGTGCACCAATTTTAAAAGCCATTCTCCTTCCCTCCGGTCCATGAGACCGGAAAGGTTGGAGACCTCTGTACTAAAAGATCACTTGTTTGTATGCAGTTGTATTATATTCCATGGACAATCAGAAAGTATTTGTGATGGTGGCAGTGTCCTGGGATCGTGTGATCACCATGTGTGACTTTCCCAGACAGCTTCCAACAAGCAAAGTCGATGGCGGGGGGGGGGGGGGGAAAGGCCAGATTCACTTAACTCTAGTAAATTTACTTAATAACCATGGCAAAAGAGGTTGTAAAATTGGTCTTGACTCATTTAACCGTCTTGTTAGCCACAGACATTCTAGTCCCAATTATGATCATAAGTTGAGAACTATCTGCCCATGCCAACTGGTATCTGCTTGTACTTTTATACAAACATAGAAAAATATAAATGACAATTTGACTCATGTTAGAGTAGGGAGTCTAAAGGTTCAAATGCTCATATCTGGAATAAATGGCAAGTATATTGTCGTGGAGCATTATTTATAGTGGCTAAGACACCAGGTTAGAAACCAGGAGACTATGAGTTCTAGTCCCACCTTAGGCATGAAAGGCAGCTGGGTGGCCTTGGGCCAGTCACTGTCTCTCAGCTCAACCCACCTCACAGGGTTGTTGGGAAAAATAGGAGGAAGAAAGAGCATTAGGTATGTTCACCAATTAGGTATAATCACGCCAAATGTTAATTTATATAAAAGTTGTTTGATTGTCGAAAGTTGCGTAAGCTCCTTACAATTGATTGTAAAATGTCTTTTTTCCTCTCTGTTTGCAACAGGAAATTAAAATTTATTTCTTAGCTTTATGACAAATCTCTTTAATCTTAGAAGTTCAGTAATGGGACTTCAGTCTCTAATACATGCTATACCAGGGTAGGGAGAACAACTGCCTTGGGCCTCTTGGCTCCCCTTGGATCAATGTCTCTTGCCCTTCACAGAACCTAAATTTGTAGATGAGGCCCTAACAGAGGCTGTAGAAAAGGAGTGGTGCAGAAAGAGGAAGCATGAGAGAAATAGGAATTGCTGTCCTATTACATACTTTGTCCTCCACTCCAAAGTCAGATGTTATTGCAACTAGTGACAATACCTCCACTGTTTCTGCCAGTTACCTCTTCCTCTTCAAATTGGTCCGATGACCTGGAAGATGGGCAGAGAGTGGGTGAAACACACAAGGCAGATAGATAGATAACCTTTATTGTCATTTTTTAACTATGGGCACAATGGCACACATTAAAAATGAAATTTAGTTGCTTGCTCTCAAAATGTACACATACATAACACACATTTAAACGTACTATGTACAACATATGTATAGATCTACACCCTTACATATAAGTAACATATAAATATTAATCACTGTCCATCTTGAATACATAACAGAAGGAGGAAGCTTTAAAGTTCACAAGCTTTATACTGTATGGAACAAAACTGTGACTGAATCTGGATGTTCTGCTTCGGATACCACGGAGCCTCCTCCCAGAAGGTAACAAGGAAAACAGGTCGTGAAGATGATGGGTAGTGTCCCAGACAATCTTCCGGAGCCTGCTCAAGCAACGCTTATGTGCTATGTCCTGGATGGAAGGGAGGGAACTGCCAATGATCTTTTCAGCCATCCTCATCACTCTCTGCACCGCCTTCCTGTCTGAAGCAGTGATGCTTCTAAACCACAGGTCGGCAGCCTGCGGCTCCGGAGCCGCATGCGGCTCTTTGAGCCTTCTCCTGCGGCTTCCAGCCTCTTCTGCCATTTGCAGAGAGAGACAGAGAGAGGCACTTGCGCTTCCCTTCTCTCTCTCTCTCTCTCTCTCTCTCTCTCTCTCTCTCTCTCTCTCTCTCTCTCTCTCTCTCTCTCTCTCTCTNTGTGTGTGTGTGTGTGTGTGTGTAAAAAGAGTGGCCTCACCCTATTCACGAGCTGACAAGCTTATTGGGCAGGGCTCCTTTGCTGCGTCTCTGCAGGAAGCAGAAAGGGGGGGGAGAGAGCCAGCCTGTTGCAGAACAGCTTGAAGCCAGCTTGCCAGGTGAGCAGAAGATCAGAGAGAGGGAGAGAAAGAGAGAGAGCAAAGAGAAAAAGAGAGGGAGAGAGAGAAAGAGAGAGAAAGAGGGAGGGAGGGAGAGAGAGGGGGGAAGCACAAGTGCCTCTCTCTACACACACACACACACACACACACACTGAGTGGGAGAAGAGGACTGGCAGACCAAGGGCAGAAAGAGGGAGAGGGAGGGAGAGAGAGACAGAGAGAGAGAGACCCTTTTGACATCTAAAATGAAGATAACACTGCATATATCCTGTTTTACCTTTATGAGACACACACACACACATACACACACACACACACACACACACACACACACACACACACACACACAGTTTTTTTCCGGTCAGACCGGTTTTTTGGTTGATGCACCTTGGTATTTTGACTGCTATACTGCAGTTCTACTGTTATGATCACTTTTGCCTTGCAGCTTAGTATGCAGGCTGCCCAGGTTCGAATCCCATAAAGGGTATGGCTAGCTGATGAGAGCAAAATGAGCTCAAAATGGCCATCCTAGTCTCCCATTTAACTCTTTAACTCTTGTCAACAAAAAAAGAAATTCGAAATATATATACACACACACACACACCTATAATAAAGGTAAAAAAGGATATATGCAGTGTTATCTTCATTTTAGATATCAAAAGGGTTTTGCGGCTCCCAGTGTTTTCTTTTCGGTGGGAAATGGGTCCAAGTGGCTCTTTTGAGTGTTTTGGGTTGCCTACCCCTGTTCTAAACCATACTGTGATGCTGTATGACAGGACACTCTTGATCTTCTCTCTGTAGAAAGTGGTAAGGATAGGGGAAGGAAGATGTGCTTTTCTCATGTGATGCAGAAAATGCAGGTGCTGCTGTGCCTGCTTCACCAGTGTCTTGCTGTTGAGCAACCAAGCCAGCCTACTTGTTAGCTGCACACCTAGGAATTTGATGCTGGTAACCATCTCCACAGGGGAATCATTAATGCACAGAGAAGTGTGGCTGTGCCTGCCTTTTCTGAAATCGACAATAATCTCTTTGGTTTTTCCAGTATTTAAAACTAGGCTGTTTTCCTAGGTCTCTTCTCCAGTGCTTGTTATTGACCTTCTTTTTCTCTTTGTTGGACCAGCAGCAGGGAACAAGTAGATATGTGGCCCTCTTCTTTTTCTCTCCCTGATGCACTATTGGGAGATGCCATATGAGTGATTTGCCTTTGGGCTAGAGCAGCTATGTTCAACTTGCAGCCCATGGGCTGCATGTGGTACTGGATAGCTAGTAATGTGACTCCAGAGCATCATAAACTTTATTATATAATTTATATACATTAATCATATTATATATTTTGTATGTAGTGCAAGACAATTCCTTTTCACTCAATGCAGCCCAGGCAAGCCAAACAGATGGACACCTATGGGCTAGAGCAGTGTTTCTCAAACTGTGGTCTGGGGACCCCTGGGGCTCCGCAATGTCATAGGGGGTCCACAAAGGCTTGAAGAAATGATATGATTTAAATCTTGAGTTAAGTCTTGGTGGTCCATGGCCACAAAAAGTATTTAAAGGGAGTCCATGATGAAGAAAAGGTTGAGAACCACTACACTAGAGAGTTCTATTTTTATCCCTGTCTTTTTTTTTAAAAAAATAATAATAATGTTATGGTATTATATATGCTTGAACTTCAAGTCTGTAGAATTTGAAAGCCAAAAGTAGCATAGTTTTCTTTATCTTTTGCTCATTTTTAAAAATGTGTTTGTTTCATGTTTTTGTTTTTGACAGTTTCCATGATTTGATGAAGCACTATCAAATGTATTCCAGACTGGGAAATGGCAGCATTCATCC